CATTAAAATATTTGCTTTAAAACATGATCAGTTGATCTCGATATCTAAAAGATGATTATCTGCCCCGTGAAAACCAGCCGTACGTGGGTCACAATTTAGATAGGCAGCAAGCTGATAGTTCTTAATCTTGCTACCTCCCATTAGTTTCAAATCGTTTTAAAAAAACTATACTATCTGCCCCTAACAGCTTTCACTAATTCGTCCCGGCTCATCGTAAACATTCGGCATGAACAACAGCTCACCAGACTGGTCGGGTGATGGCGTCTAGCTAAATATCTCCCTATCTACTATTGAATATAGTAATCGATCGATAGATTGCTAGCATTCAATCTTATTATGTTCCCTTAGTTTCGAAACCATTTATGAATCTAATTAAATTTTTAAAAAATAGATATTCATGCATTGCCATCAAAGACGAAGGTATCTGGTGCATTAGAATTTGGTCAAAATTGAGCTATGAGATTTGCCACAAACCCTCAAACCGACGTTGTAAACTTTAAAAAAGCTTTCAAATGAGTCATGAGGCGTGGGCGGGTGTTGTGGAGCGCACGGGGCGACACCATTAATGAGGGTGACACTAAGACAAAAAAATGTCAAATATATAGAAGAAGTACCAGTTGAATGAATGACTGATTAGAGTTAAAAATCAGTTTAAAAACTATGACGATCACCATAAGAGAGGATGGAGGTTGGGGGGAGGGGGGGCTGTGAGACACCATAAGAAAGCTGTAACCTGGTAACTGTACAGAAATTAATGGTACATCTAGCTGAATTAATAACCGACTATAGATAAGCATCTTTACTATTAACTGTGAACTTTTTTAAAGCTATCACACGCGGAGAGTGGGGGGGGGGGGGGGGGTTGGCACCAAAAGGTACCGCACAGCGTGACACCAGACCTAGCGACGCAACTGCTCCTACTCTCTAAATCCCCTGCAGGATTGAGGAAGCGATAGGATAGGAAGATTTTTTTTTAAATATACCTTTAGCGGGAAAGTTTAGCAGATCGTTTAATAGATTGCTAACACGAAAGTCAAGAGTTTGGATCCTGGGCATTAAGCCCGTAGATAGTCCTCTGATAGAACTGCCCCTTATCCAGGTGTGGCGGAAACCCACGTATCTAGCAGCTGATAAGATAGGTGAGAGATATTTAAAGATCAGTGGAAATGGAATTTATATAGAAAACATATACTTTTAACAGTGTCCGCCCCATTCCCCCCCCCCCCCCACCCCACCCCCTCCACAGGAGAAATAAGTCTGGAAGAAGCAGTGCTAGTGTAAGTTGTGTAGCAAACTTCTGAATCAGACATTACTGTACTATCTGCAGCTACCACATTGTCTCTACTGTTAACCCTCACACTAAATGCGACTTTCACTTCAATTATGTCACTCTCACATTTTGCAAGCCATGTATTTAAAAAATGCAAAGCCTGGCTGTTTAAAATAGACAATAAGCCATTATTAAAACCTTTACTACCTAAAATTACTCTGACGAATTTATTTATCACAAAATCTTATGCACTACACTGTCCCTAAGAAGGATCATAGTATATATGAACGTTCAATCTCACAAGTGTAATGCAACCATTTGATTTTGATAAACTGTTTAGTCTGTTAAAGTACCAATATATTGTCATAAGACAGAGAAAACGGTGCCCTGTCAAAACGGCCCGGGACAAATCGACCCCGTCAAAACGGCCCCGTTAATTTGACCCCGTTAAATCGACCCCCGACAAAACGACCCAGGCAAAATAGCCCCGCCAAAAGGGCCCTGACTTATTGACTCCCGTCAAATGGGCTCCCGTCATATTGACTTGCGACATATAGGCTCTCCGACAAATGGGCTCCCGATATTTAGGCTCCCGACAAATGGACTCCCGACATATTAACCCCTGACAAATAGGCTCAGTACATATTGGCTCCCGACAAAGCGGCTCCCACATATTGGCTCCCGACATAAGGGCTCAAGACAAATGGGCTCCCGGCAAATGGGCTCACGATATATTGGCTACCGACAAATGGGCTCCCGACATATTGGCTTTTGACAAAATGACTCCCGACATATTGGCTCCAGACCAATGAATGGCATGACCACTATTGGCATAAAAAGTAACCATTGTGTCCTACCTCCAATACCACTATAACCTCTTTTAAATACCCGAATGAAATTGTTTTTCTCGAACCAACATTAATTCACAAACAAATCGAGCCCTTAACAGCCTAAGTCCACCAATTCTAAAGTTTTGATAATGTTTAATTTACAACAGAAAAGATCTGTTGCTTAAAAGCGAGCACAGAAGTGTAAATGTATGATATACATGATGTTTACATGATAACAGCATTTGTTTTGATAACCTACAAGCATACTGCAGTTAGGAAGGTACAGCGTGGACCCTTCTCCCCACACACTGAGTTGGAACAGCCTATAACCGACTCAATTATGGATGTCATAGATAGATGACCCTTAAATTAAAACATACTATATTTTATAATAGATAAACTAATATAAAAATAAGGCCTGCCGAACAAGAGATGCATACGTTGTATTACATAAGAGTGTTGGATAAGCTAACTCTAAAGAATATTGATGAACGGGTCCCACTGGCAGGTGTCATATTCAATGAGACCGCTTTGCCGGGAGACTTAGTCTCTACAGAAACGGTATTGTCAGTGCAGTGGCATAGCTAGGATTTTTGGGCCCCTATGCAAAAATTATCAGTGGGCCCTTTCGTCAGCCGTTAGGCCAGTGGCGTCGCTAGGTCGGGTGTTACCCGGTGTGGCACTTCGTATTGTCAACCCCTCCCAGGAAACAAAGCATATATATATATATATATATATATATATATATATATATATATATATATATATATATATATATATATATATATATATATGTGTGTGTGTGTTTGTGTGTCGGCCTACATAGGCCTAAAATGTATATATATGCCACATACTGGTACACGTACGTGTTTAAGCTTTAATCACTGCAGACTTAATAGTAACGATGTTTATCTACAGTCTGTTTATAATACAGTTGGATGTAGCATTGTTTTCTTTATAGTTTACGTTACGTCGTGGTGTCACCACCCCCCCCTCCCCCCTCGATATAATTTTCGATTTGTACTTAGAAGACTATTTAACTTTAAATAATGGATCTGGAAAAATGGCATTTCATTCTATACATTTTGCAATTTTTTGCCTTTGGTTTCACCCCCCTAAATGGTGTCACCCGTTGCGGTCCGCACCCCCCCCCCCCCCCCCCCGCCCCGCCTTCGCTACGCCTCTGCGTTAGGCTACAGAGGAGTTAAACGAAGAGATCAACTTCTACTTACGATGGATATTTTTTAATATATAAATATTCTGAAGGCAACATTTTGTATTTTATATGTCCTGATTATGTATTTATACTATATTATTATGTTTGCCTACTACTGCTAAAAAGTTTATTTATAGGCTGATTCTCTCAATGTCTTGCACGACAAAGTGATATCGCCTGTAGTGTTATTATAACGATTGGGCTCTGTTTGTCCCACTCACACACACACTGAATCCCACTGCCGAAACGGTGGGGGGGGGGGCTTTTGGAACTTTTAACCTTTTTCTTTTTTTAAATTATTTATATGTAACAACTATTAAAATTCCATTGTAAAAATTTTAATTTTTTATGAGGTGTAACGTTTACCTATCTACCAGCCAGATAGATGGTGAACGTCCCCGGATTCTTTTTTCGGGGTTATATGCAAATGACTTAAAGCCTAAATGAATGAACACTAACTCAACAACACACTAGGGCTCGACTTCGATGTCTAGGGAAAACTAGTGATACTATTGAAGTTAACAACTCATTCAATCTGCATACAACCTTTAATAAGCGAACACAGTTGTGGCAGAACACTAGGTTAAACGAGATAAAATATTTAATTTAGAAAATAACAAAACCCAACTTACAAAGCGTAAGAAAAAACACTATCACAGATTTTAACACTGTATAAAAATAGCCACAGGTCACACAACACTGCTATAGCTTCAAGAATCACTTGGCGACAAGTAATATTATACTAGAATACTAAAACAGTTTAAGAAAGCATAGCACACTCAGGACTTAAGTTCTCTCACGTTCAAATGGTCAGAATCTATTGCCGGACAAAATGGACGGCCTGGTCTTAATAGACCGTTTGATCAAGGTAGACCGCCTCGTGTTGCGTGTGTGCGATCTAGTTAAAGACTTATGCAACAGGGGAGGTTATCCTCAACTCATGTAGCCATTGGTTGGGATGGTCATCTGATCAGAATCAATCAATCAGATCTTGATGGAAAATTTCTGGGTCCTAGACCCCCTTAATAAGACAGTGGAAAAACCCCGGTAGTTGCACCATCAATCCATATAAGGTATTATACAATGTCAAACTAAAAATGGAACATGACTAGACCTAAGTAGGTCACAGAAGGAAAAGGGCCCCTATGTGCCTTGGGCCCCTATGTCTTGCTTACGCTAGCTTTACAGTAGCTACGCCACTGTGTCAGTGGTTCTTTTGTCAGGAGCCAAATTGACAGGAGCCTTTTTGTCGTGAGCCAAAATGACGCTAGCCTATTTGTCGGGAGTCGTAATGACGGGGGCCGTTTTGTGGAGAAACTATATGGCGGGAGCCTATTTGTCGGGAGTCGTAATGACGGGGGCCGTTTTGCGGAAAAAACTAAATATATGTCGGGAGCCAAAATGACGGGAGCCTATTTGTCAGGAGTATTGACTGGAGCCTTTTTGTTGGGAGCCTATATAACGGGAGCCTATTTGTCGGTAGCCTAAATGACGGGAGCCTATTTGTCGGGAGCCTATATGACGGGGTCCATATGTCGCTGGCCCTTTTGACGGGGTCATTTTGACGGGGCCTATTTGTCGGGGCCGATTTTTCGGGGTCGTTTTGACGGGGCAGTTTTGTCACTGGTCGTTTTGACGCCGCGCGAGAGAAAACGGATGAATGTAGAGAGGCATAGAGCAAAGGTTATTTTTGCCCAGTTTTCTCCCTAAACTCTGCAGTAATCTCCCCCAACAGTCCCAGATCCGACATGATTTCTATAGCTGTCAGTGCCAGAGCTTTTCCTTGGTTCTGTGACAACAGGAAGGCTGGCCTGGTTCCTGAAAGACGCAAGTTAAAATTTCAATAAAATAAATTTGTAATTCTCTGACGCGTTTATATTTGTTTGTGATATGTCTATGTCTATGAAGTGCTTGTATGAGTGTGGTTTTATTGTGTGTGTGTGTGTGTTTGTTTGTTCAGTCTACATGTGTGTATACATTCAACAACTTAAACTTAAATAGTATCTCTGATCTATTGCAACAACAAAAAATTGTGTCAACATATATTACACACACAAGCATGTAATCATCAAAACACGTTTCGAAAGGTATTTGCATTTAATAAAAGGGACTAAACCAAAACATATTGTTGATGATTAATTTTTAATAGGTTGTAGCCCTTTTCATGTAAACGTATTTATTATAACTAAATTAAACAGTATCAGTAATTAACTAAAGAACTGTATCAACCTCCCCAATAGCTAAACATTATTTTATATGATACAACGCTCTTTCAGTTAACAATATTTTTTAGAAACTGATGATTTGAGAAATTAGAGTAAACATTTCAATATGTACAAGAAAAGGAAACGCTAAAACTCCACAGAAATTTTCTAAAAGGCGAATAGATGTGTTGGTATAAATCAGTTGTTTGACTTTTTAATTATATATCAATCATTATGAATGTTAAATAGACTATAAAAACTTAATTTTTTAAATAGTGATAAATATTCACCCTATCTAAAAACAGAAAGAGTGAAAATACGCTAAAACACCGTAAGACCTGATTCCTTGGTAAATTCCTTGCTGTGGTTAAGTGCAGCCCCTATCCTGTACATAGGGTGGATACTGGGACAAACATAGCTGACATTTCCCATATCTGTAGATCCTACTGGACACTAAATGTTTACAAAGGAAAGATGTTTACAGTATGCGAATATTCGAATATTCGGTACATAGTGTGATAATTGGGACACACATAGCTGGCGTTTGTTTGTAGAACGTACTAGGCACTACACATGCACATTATCTTGTGAGTGTTTACAGAGCACACAAACGAGGTACATAGGATTAATTATTTGACACACGTGACTCACATTTACCATACTTACAGAAGCCACTTGATACTTAAATTGCGCTAATTTAACCTATATATTATTCTGACAGTGTGTGTACAACACGTGTAGTGTACTGTGTGAAAGTGTTACCGTCTCTGTGAAAGTTATCTCCAGATAAAAACCAGATAATTTATCGTGTGAAAGTGTTACCGTCTCTTTGAAAGTTATCTCCAGATAAAACCAGATAAATTATCATAAGATTTGAAAGTTTTACCGTCTCTGTGAAAGTTATCTCCAGATAAAACAAGATAATTTATCATGAGATGTGAAAATGTTACCGTCCCTGTGAAAGTTATCTCCAGATAAAATCAGATAATTTATCATGAGATGTGAAAGTGTTACCGTCTCTGTGAAAGTTATCTCCAGATAAAACCAGATAATTTATCATGAGATGTGAAAGTGTAATCGTTTCTGTGATCGTTATCTCTGGATAAAACCAGATAATGTATCATAAGATGTGAAAGTGTTACCGGCTCTGTGAAAGTTATCTCCAGATAAAACCAGATAATTTATCATGAGATGTGAAAGTGGTACCGTCTCTGTGAAATTTCTCCTGTCTGGCTCCACCATGTTGATGTGTTTTTCGTAAATTTTGGCCAAAGTCCGGTTGTTGTTTATATCAGAATAGCCAATTTGGCTGTGATCTATGTCAACCTGCAATGTTCAATTAAGGAAAATTGCTAATTGGAGATCTACAAGTTATTTTGTTAGTAGCTAACAAAAAAATATTTGAATTTAATGTATGATAAAAATACTTTACACTTCACATGACAAACCCTAAGGGCTTTGCACCTATAATATTTTAATGAACATAAAAAAACATCTGTTACATATGTTTCTAGATGTTGACATCAATGGGGATGGAGGTGAAGCTTTCATTATTAAAAACATTGCACTATATCAAGTTATATTTTAACGGGTAAACAATTTGCAAAGTTTCGTCTTGGGTCATCTATTTCTTGTGACAAAAAGTGCTTTTATTAACTTTACAAGACAAAGCACTTTATCTTCATTGTGCAATGTTTTCTAGACGTCACAAATACCATGTCACTTGTCTGCTACAATTGTCACTACCATATAGATCTATTGGCCTAAGTACCAAAATATGTCTGTTGGTACGATATAGAAAATAAATGTTAATCAAACTAAAAGAATATTACACAAAATGGTGTTCAAACTTGCCGTGCAACCCGTTGCTATGGCAGCGCCCTCCCAACATTTGGTGACCTTCTGGGCAACAACTTCCAGTTCACGTCTGTCCTTGGCCCTGATGCAATACTCTAACTGGGTCAAGTCTGGGATTATGTTGGCCTTGGTGCCCCCTTTTGTGAAGATCCCTGTAGTAGGTCTTATCTTTAAAGTTTTTAATCTTCAAGAAAACATATAAACATCATATTCTCTCATCAAATAACACCACCAAGAACCTGCTATGAAGATAATCCCCCCCCCCTCCCACCATGAAAACATCATGACCTCACCATTACCCAGCCCGGAACCCAACTCACCAAGAACCCTATGAACCCCACACTGAACCCACCATGAACCCGTGTTGTTGGTTTCAGCTGTTGTCTTAACGCTGAGATGCTGTTGTAAGCTTGTATAGCGGCGTCCAGGGCGTTGATCCCGTCCCATGGCGAGGCAGAGGCGTGGCAAGCCTTCCCATGGTAGGTGATCGTGTACCTGTTTTTAGACAGTTGACTCGCTACAACAGTCCGGTTAAGTCACTTAACTATCTAATATACATTGCTACAACGATCTATTTAAGTTCCCTATCGTATGTTTAGTGTTGCGGGCTTTTTGCCCACTTTTTGTGGATGTGTTAACGGTTTAGTTAATTAAGGGGATATGCGCGGAAAAAATCACAAAATCTCTTGTTTTTCGTCATGATGGGTTTCTTGCACTTTTGGATACTTTGTCCATTTTTGTATAAAGAAAATAATAACTTTAAAGAGAAAAAAATATTTTATGTGTTTAAATTACGATTTTTATGACCCTATTAATTAAAAAATAATCAATTTTTCCCAATCTTACAAGCTCTCTATAAAAAGTTTTATATCCGTCATTATATTGTATTTGACATCATTGGAAAGCTGGATTTCTCATGTATCTAATAAACTTAATTTCCTACATCTCGGAAACACCTAAAACTTACAATCGGCTATGCAGTTTACACAGATATGGTACTTTCTTGACCTAGTTTTCGTTACTTTTGGCTGTTTTTCTCAGTTTGCAGGTTTTTAACACTAAAAAGCCTACTACTTTTTTATTTATTAAACAATGCCAACCATATTTTTAGTAAATGATCTTGATGCGAAAATACAACTTTTGTCACGAGGGAATTGTGATTGCTTTCATAGAAAAAAAGTATTTGGTAATTAATATGCACATTTTGAAACTTTTGAATACTAAAAAGGGTACGATTTTTTAGACCTTGTAAAATTCTTACTTGTAATTATTTCAAAAAGTTGTCGTGACAAAAGTTTAAATATATACTGAAATATAAGCAGTTTAAATTTGATTGCTATAGGTGCATAAATAAAAAAGCCTTAGTATTTTTAAAAGTACCGAAAAATTCAAAATGGCGGAGGTTTTTTGGGTTTCCATGACAACCAAAATTGTTTTCGACCCTCTTTTTTGCTGTTTAATACTTACTTTTATATGCCAAATATGATAAAAGTATTCAAAAGGCTTTAGATCTTAAAGTGTAAAAAATAGAAAAAAACATAGCATATCCCCTTAAGTAAATTAAGTATCCAAAGTAAGCAGCTTGAAACACAAGCCACGACATATTTGAATAGCCTCTACCCCATCAAACGAATGGGAAAAACCGACTCAACCATTGACATGAAAAACTTACTGTTGCATGGCCAGAGTTTCAGGCAAGGCAATGTTCTCTGAACATGGGTGACACATCATGGCCACATGCACGTCATCAAAAGCTCCGGCCTCCATCAGAACGATCTTTCCTCCTCCTCCCTCTTCTGCAGGGGTCCCCAGCACCGTCAACTGGGCAGAGAAAATAGTGGGTGGTTGTCCAGAGAAAATATTGGGTGCAGTGTTTCTTCCAGACTTTTGTCTCCGGGGGGGGGGCACTTAAAATTTTCGGGGGGCGGTAGACTTTCTTCGGGGGGGGGGGGGCGGACACTGTTAAAAGTATATATTTTCTATATAAATTATATACATTTCATTTCGTTCCGGGGGGGGGGGGGCGCTTGCCCCCCCCCCCCCCCCCCCCCCCCCGAAGAGATACCTGGAAGAAACTCTGATTGGGTGGTTGTCAAAAAAAATTGAGAAAATATTCGGCAGAGAAATTTTGGGTGGTTATCAAAAGAGCAAAAAAAAAAATATCGGGTCAAAAAGTGGATGTTTATAAATAGTGCACAGAAAGTAGTAATGTATAGAAAATATCGTATTGTATACACATTGGTAGTGGACTAACCTAGTTAAAAATGTCTTGCACTGAGCTACTTTGATTTTCAGTTTAGATGAATGGACAAAACAACAAGAATTTCAAACAATTTTACAATTTTTGCAACATTTCTGGACGTGGCAATTTAATTGATGACAACAGTTTCAACCAACCTTTCCTACGGGTCGTCCATGTTTTTCCATAACGGCCTTGACCCCAAGAGCAGCTGCCACCCCGAGCTGTGCTATCTGGTTGTGACCACACGCATGTCCGATCTCAGGCAGGGCGTCGTACTCACACAGGACAGCGATGTTAGGGGCCTTGTGCTCACTTTCTGTGGATATGTTTAATGTTAGGGGCCTTGTGTCCACTTTCTGTGGATAATGTTTAATGTTAGGGTACTTGTGTCCTCTCTCTGTGGATATGTTTAATGTTAGGGGCCTTGTGTCCACTCTCTGTGGATATGTTTAATGTTAAGGGCCGTGAGTCCACTCTCTGTGGATAATGTTAAGGGCTCTCTGTGGATATATTTAATGTTAGGGGCCTTGTGTCCACTTTCTGTGGATATGTTTAATGTTAGGGCCTTGTCTCCACTCTCTGTGGATAATGTTAAGGGCTCTCTGTGGATATATTTAATGTTAGGGGCCTTGTGTCCACTCTCTGTGGATAAAATGTTAGGGACCTAGTGTGAACTCTCTGTGGATATGTTTAAAGTTAGGGTCTTGGGTCCACTCTCTGTGGATATGTTTAATGTTAAGGGCCTAGTGTCCACTCTCTGTGGATATGTTTAATGTTAAGGCCTAGTGTCCTCTCTCTGTGGATAATGTTAAGGGCCTAGTGTCCACTCTCTGTGGATATGTTTAATGTTAAGGGCTTTGTGTCCACTCTCTGTGGATAATGTTAAGGGCCTAGTGTCCACTCTCTGTGGATATGTTTAATGTTAGGACCTTGTGTCCACTCTCTGTGGATAATGTTAAGGGCCTAGTGTCCACTCTCCATTAGAATTGTGATGAAACTGAGACTGACAGACAGAATGGCGGATAGACGGACAGACAGACAAACAGACGTTGTGACCATAGAAAAAGCTTGTAAAATTAAAAAGGGAAAGAACGCGCTTTTATAGCCTCTATAAAATACAATAAAAGTAAAAAAAAAAACCATTAAATTTTCAAGGAATTAGATATTAAAGTGGTTATAGATGTTTCCCATGCCACGCGAATATATTGTGATTACCAGGAACATGGCAAGTTCACACGATTAAAAGTCGTTTCAGTCACATATGGAATACGGTGTTAGTTTATAATTAAAAATGTATATGGTGTTATTTTGTACCGAAACATTCAATTTAAGAAAGTTATGAGGGCTATCTTTCACGCTAAAACTCTACACGCTTTCACTTTTGTGACTACTCACAATACTAAAATGAGCATAAAAAATGCAATATACTATAAAACCAACTAACCCCCACTATAAAACCAACTCACCCCCACTATAAAACCAACTCACCTCCACCTACCTGACACTCCCAGTATAAAATCAACTCACCCCCAACTACTCAACACTCCCATATAAAACCAACTCACCCCCAGTAGCCTGACACCCCCACTATAAAACCAACTCACCCCCAGTACTGGACACCCTCACTATAAAACCAACTCACCCCCAATATAAAACCAACTCACCCCCAGTAGCCTGACACCCCCAATATAAAACCAACTCACCCCCAGTAGCCTGACACCCCCACTATAAAACCAACTCACCCCCACTATAAAACCAACTCACTCCCACTATAAAACCAACTCACCCCCAGTAGCCTGACACCCCCAACAGTCCCACTATAAAACCAACTCACTCCCACTATAAAACCAACTCACCCCCACTATAAAACCAACTCACTCCCACTATAAAACCAACTCACCCCCAGTAGCCTGACACCCCCAACAGTCCCACTATAAAACCAACTCACTCCCACTATAACACCAACTCACCCCCAGTAGCCTGACACCCCCAGTATAAAACCAACTCACCCCCAGTAGCCTGACACCCCCACTATAAAACCAACTCACCCCCAGTAGCATGACACCCCCACTATAAAACCAATTCACCCCAGTAGCCTGACACCCTCACTATAAAACCAACTCACCCCCACTATAAAACAAACTCACATCCAGTAACCTGACACCCCACTATAAAACAAACTCACCCCCAGTAACCTGACACCCCACTATAAAACCAACTCACCCCCACTATAAAACCAACTCACCCCCAGTAACCTGGCACCCCCACTATAAAACCAACTCACCCCCAGCTACCTGACACCCCCACTATAAAACCAACTCACCCCCAGTATAAAAACAACTCACCCCCAGTAACCTGACACCCCCACTATAAAACCAACTCACCCCCACTATAAAACCAACTCACCCCCACTATAAAACCAACTCACCCTCACTATAAAACCAACTCACCCCCACTATAAAACAATCTCACCCCCAGTAACCTGACACCCCCACTATAAAACCAACTCACCCCCACTATAAAACCAACTCACCCCCACTATAAAACCAACTCACCCCCACTATAAAACAAACTCACCCCCAGTAGCCTGACACCCCCACTATAAAACCAACTCACCCCCAGTAGCCTGACACCCTCACTATAAAACCAACTCACCCCCACTATAAAACCAACTCACCCCCACTATAAAACCAACTCACCCTCACTATAAAACCAACTCACCCCCACTATAAAACCAACTCATCCTCACTATAAAACCAACTCACCCCCACTATAAAACAAACTCACCCCCAGTAACCTGACACCCCCACTATAAAACCAACTCACCCCCACTATAAAACCAACTCACCCCCACTATAAAACAAACTCACCCCCAGCTACCTGACACCCCCACTATAAAACCAACTCACCCCCACTATAAAACCAACTCACCCCCACTATAAAACAAACTCACCCCCAGTAGCCTGGCACTCCCAGGTTGCCCTGAAAGCAGTCTCCACGTTTTTGTAGCCTCTCTCCACAGCGAACCCTCGTTCTTCTAGAAAGTTCGTCAGTACATCGTGGGCGATTCTCTCTTGAAACAAAAGTTCTGGATTCCTCCATATGGTAAGGCTCAACTGTTCTAAGGCATCAGCCTCCTGGTCAATGGCTAGGCAGGCTGTAGCAAACAGTTCCTCCATCTCTCGTCTGTTGATCTCACGGCACACACCTGTTTATATCACGTGCGACATCTGTTTAGTGTAGTGGTTCTCAAGTCTTGATAGAAGAACAGACACATTAGAAAACTACACAGGCCTGCCGTAATAAGCTACCAAACTATTTTAATAATTCCTAAAATATATTTCAAGACGTTTACACCACTATTAAGCCAGAATAAAGAACAATTTTAAAACAGGATATTTTTGTGTGGGATGGTGTGGTCGAGCAATAGATCAACATGAACGTTCCCGAACGTATTGAATCCCCCCTGCCCAGATGGGTCTGGATCAACTGTCTGGAGCAGGTAAGTAATGGCGTCTTAGCCTTACCACATGTTCCTTTCAAATGCCGAGGTTAGAGAGACAGATTTGCTCTGCATCATTTATCCTATACACGACTGTCTTGTTACATTATTTTACTACTAAACATCAAGGGGACTAAAATTACTAAAAAAAAAATACACAAGAACATAAATTAAAATATGTGAGGTTTAACTATCGTAATTTATTGGAGTTTTAGAAATGTTTCCTTAAACGAAGAATTGAGATGCAAGAAAAAAAAAACAATTTGAAACAAAATTTCAAGATTAAAAAAAAACAAGCACAAAATATTAGTACAGTAAAGAAATGGACCTTGTAATTACAGAAAGTCGTTCTTGTAAGCAAGTTGCTAGCTGCCATGACGGTGTATGATGACCTGTGGTCTCTTGACCGGCCACGCCCTCCCCACACGGCCGATAATGACATACGACCTCCTGGCCAACCACACCGTCCCCACACGGCCAATGATGACCTCTGGTCCCTTGACTGACCACAATGTCCCCACACGGCCAATGATGACCTCTGGTCCCTTGACTGACCACACGGTCCCCACACGGCCAACTATGAAGACCCACGGCCTCCTGAATGTTACCAAACCTGCTATCTGCAATTGTTTGCGAGTGTTCTTGGTGTTGGAGATCGACTACCATGAATCGCGTCACTAGAATTACATTATTTTGTTTCAATTATACCAACAGTTGCTAATTGTGTTTTATTAAATACTTTTGTTAATTATCATTAATTTAATTTATCAAATTACATCTGTTATTATGTAATTAAAATTTAAACTTCAAATTAAATTTAAAATATAAAATGAGCTATACGATCTTCTCCACGCGTACTTCCATGAAGTACATCATCTTATTTAGACGCACTTTAAGCAAACAGTTTAGCTGTATGTGTTAAGTGTAGGCTAATCTAGAACAAGAAAATATCGCTGGGTCACAAAACAGGTGATTAATTTAAACATTACCGTGGGCGGTCAATACATGGTATTTAAATAATTTTTTGTATTTTAATTTCATTGCCCAACTTGGCAGATCCCAGCGTATTAATCGCTAATGGCGGAGTAATCGCGACAGTTGTTTACAAACTGCAGCGTGTTGTTAAGGGGAAAACACTTGTACTATAGAGAAAGAACTGTATAGGCCTACCTGTCCAGGCGCGACTTAGCTATTTCTAGAATTCTTTCGCCGGTCTACAACAGATAAACACACATAACAAAAGTAACGCTAACACACTTAACTTTTGCAGTCCTTGGAACCGGTGGAATTTTTTGTTTTAAGTATAAATAAGGATTTTTGGTTAAAACGTTATGGGCTTATGAATGGGTCACAGATTTCTTTATTTTCAAACATGTTTCTCAGATTGCATGGGTTGCATGAAGAACTTTTCAGCGCAACGTTCGCCATAATTAGTTCGCCTTTGATTAAAACAGGTAACTTGTCGAGTTTGGTCTGAGACACCTTGTAGCAGAGCCCGTTCTAGTATTTTTGTAAACATTACAGAAATTAAGCAGTAGCATAGTGGTCAAGGCTTAGGTCAAGTTGGCCCAGTGTTAAGTCATGCGGCACAAGCTACATATGCCCGACGGCTAACAACATCGTTATCAGGCTATCTAAAATGCCTCTATAAATTTTATATATATATATATATATATATATATATATATATATATATATATATATATATATATATATATATATATATATATATATATATATATATATATATATATATATATATATATATATATATATATATATATATATATATATATATATATATATATATATATATATATATATATATATATATTTATATATATATATTTCACTGACAAAATGTATGGTTTCTCTTTTGAATCTTCGTCAGTTATTCCACTCACGTTTACAAATTTTATCAGCACGAGAATATACTAGGATAATGATTGTATCATCAACTCGTTGATAAACTAAGGTACGGACTGTATCAACGTGTTGATAGCAGTGGCGGAACGAGAAAAAAAGGGCCACCCCGCAAAAAAAATTCTGCCCGCCCCCTTATATATATATATATATATATATATATATATATATATATATATATATATATATATATATATATATATATACATATGCAAACTCAGAATATAAAATGTCTTTATTTTTTCAATTTAAACAAATTACAACATGTTATGTGTGTGAGTGCATTAGTCTGTTTTGCTGTAATACTGCCTATCCTCAATAATTAGCCGGTCAAAAGAATATAAAACATGAAAGCTATGTATTTGTAATGGTTTCTCGTGTTATGTATATTTTTATGTTTTTTTGTATTTATATTATTTGTTTTAAATATATTTCCTATTTATGCTATGTCATTCTTTAGAATGTATTTTATAAAAATAATAAACAAGAGAAGTAATTGCTTTTTCATTTGTTTAGTACACATATATTAAAATGAGCTTAAGTGCACCCTTATTTAATTATTTAAAAAAGGGAAATAAGTCTTGGAAGTGTTTTGAACGTTTGCCTATTTTTCACACTACAGCTCAGGCATATAGTTTTTTAACGCAACATGTGTTAGCTACTGTATAACATCACTACTGTAATATATCTGTTTGTTATTTACCAAAAAAATGCAAGAAAATTATTTTTTTTAACTATAAAGAATTTATTATGGTCGGCTATGGGCCCCTAAATGGCGTAGTTCCGCCCCTGGTTGATAGACTGGGGAAACTACTGCATCAAGATGTTGATATACTGATTGGGCCCTTAGGGTGAACCAGTCATGCGTATCACCCGGTATCTATAAAAGGGTGCCTTAAATTAAGTTGTGTGTATAAATCTTAATCATCTTTTTTAGGGAGACCCCGGCATATGAAGTGATAGTGTGGTCAGCACTATGTCCATTCCATTTTATTTTCCCTAACGTGTGTTATGTGCCCATCAGAGCTGGGTGGGCTCATGGACATTCTACTGCCTTGAACTCGGATTCGAACTCGCGAATTTCGAGTTAGCAGTCTCGCGATCTACCGTCCCGTATTGTGCATTAATAAAGGGAATTAACCATTGCATTTTGATATTGTCAAAAATATATTTCTAGTTACCGGTGATGAATCTCACCGTACTATCTTCTACAATGCAAGCAGCTTATTGTTAGGTCGTTACTTTTAGTTTACCCATATTGGTTGTAGCCAGTGGCAGATTAAGCTTGAGCGGGGTCCCCGGCTGAAATTTTGTGGGGGCCGTAAATATATATATATATATATATATATATATATATATATATATATATATATATATATATATATATATATATATATATATATATATATATATATATATATATATATATATATATATATATATATATATATATATATATATATATATATGTATATTTATATATAATGTGTGTGTTAAGTGAAAAACAATAAAATGCTAGTGGAAATACGCAAACACTACAACATAGGAAAAAGGAAGTCAACTGATGGGAATTCAGCAAAATGATTGATATCAGAGGTAAACAATATTAAAAGCTGTAGAAAATCAGAACATGGTCACAACTGCTAACTATTATACAGGAGCATGACGCATTTGGTAAAGGTATCAAGACAAAAAATGGGGACAAATTAGCTCTTTATGGTAAGAGAACCGTGTGTAGCTTTAAATATAAATTGTTCGTTGTTCAAAGTCGACGCATTAGAGAGCAATCCTAAAATTGCGCATTCAACCCAAACACTGACTTTTGCTCATCCTAGCTCCTAAAAAGAATGAAACAATAATGACATATAAAAAATAATTTAAAGTGGAACCTGTACAAAAATTTAGAATTGAACTAGACTACCCGTCATCCGTTGGATAACTGTGGGTTTCGGGGGTCATCCATCAAAAAACATCACGTCTGTCACTCAGAAGCATAGCGACCCTTCCCGGCGCCCGGGGACAAACTTTTCGATTTGAACCCCCCCCCCCCCCCCGCAAGATTTCGATTTGCACCCCCCCCCCTCAAACTTTTGATGTGCACCCCCCCCATTCAAACTTTCGATTTGCACCCCCCCTCAACCTTTCAATTTATTTTTCCAAACCATTTTGGCGCCCCAACATATGTCCCCCCACGCGCCCCCCTTCCCCCCTCCACCTCCCCTCCCCCCCGCCTCCCCTCCCCCTCCCGCCCCCCCCCCCTCCTCGCTACGCTACTGCAGTGTCACTTATCGTCACAAAAAACAGATCCCACATTCAAAAATATGTTTCTTATCTTTTAAAAACACCGAAAACACCGATTTCGGACTATCCCTTCATATACTGACGTCACATGTGACCTACTCAACTCTACTTCACCTGCCCAGTGTCCCGCCAAGTCTCAGACAACATGTTTTTATCGTTTAAAAAACGATTCCAGCCGAGCATGTCTCTGACCACACTATCCTTTCATATGCTTAGGACAAAGAAACAGATGAACTCTACTTCACCTGCCTTGTATCCTTCCAAGTTCAGATAGGCAACTTTATCATTCACATCTAAAAAAAAAAAAAAAATATCATTGACATATTGGTCTAGAGCCTGTGCCACCCACATGAGAGCGGGCTACGCTACCAACTTAGCTATTTACACGTGACGTCACAAGTGAATTTTTATACTATACTTATGCAACTTGATTTAAGCGCATAGATTCTAGATCTAGGTATAGTAGTACT